TGAGGGCCCCTTGAAAGGGGGCAAAAGGCAAGGGGCGATGGAGACAGCAGCAATGGGGGGGCCGTAAAAGGGCCCAAAGAGAGACTCTGGACCGGCAGCAGAAAGGGGAGGCGGTATGGGGGCCCCAAAGGCAGTTTTGGGGGCCGGGCAGCAGCTATGGGAGGCCCGTAATCTGCCAGCCCCACCCTAAAACAAAAAATGGAACACCCCCCACCCGGGTTTTAGGAGACCTGAAAGGAAACTTTGGCTTTAGACACGTGGCCTGGCACCCAGCATGAGGGGGCGGAAAAGGGGGCCCAAATGGCAGTTTTAGGGGCCTGGAAAGCACTATGGGACCCCCGAATCGGGCCAAAACCCCAATGCCAAAAAAGGGAAAACACACCACAGTGTAGGAGACCTGAAAGTGGCAAAAGGCAGAGTGGGGCCCATGGAGACAGCAGAAAAGGGAGGCCGAACAGGGACCCAAAAGACACCGGACCGGCAGCACCCAGGGGAAGGGGGTACGGGGGGGCCCAAGGCAATTAGGGGCCTGGCAGCAGCAAAGGGGGGCCCCGGGAATCTGCCAGCACCCCTATGACAAAAAATGGAACACACCAGCAGTGTGAGGAACCTGAAAGGGCCATGTTTGGGGCATGTTTAAAGGGGATTTTAGCCCAGTTGTGCCCAGGAACTGGGGGGTTTAAACCCCAACAACCAAAGCCTGATTAAATTTTCACAAACTTGGGGTCTCTCCACATTTTTGGGGGGACAGTCTTGCCCCCCGCGGAGTTTACAAAAACCTCCCCCGCCCCAAACACGCGCCCCCCCAAACCCACCTACGGGCCCGGGGCCCCCTGACGGGCCTTTAAAAGGGAAAATTCACTATTTGGGGGGGAAAAAAGTCAAGTTTGGGTTCCAGTAGCAAGGGGTTTTCCCAAACCTGGGTTTTTGAAAGGGTGCTGCCCCAAGTAAAAGCCCAAGCCTGTTTTTTGGGGTCCTGCTCCGGGTCCCCCCTAAATTTGCGCTGTTTCCCGCTGCGGGGGGCGGCGGGTTTTGGGTATTTCCTCACTGCGTTTGGTGAAGAAAGCTACTCTCATCGCCCCGAAAAGAGGCAGCCGCGCTGGGAGCTGCCACTGCTCCTCCAACCCCCCCACCCCCCCTTTTGCTGCCATGGCAGCGGAACGCGAGCCCCACGGGCCCCAAACAGTGTCGGGGAAAGGGACTTTGGGCGCAAAAAAAGGGCCAAGGAAAAAACCAACGGGGACACAAGGGGGTTTTTATAGAACGTTAAATTTTGGCCTCCCTCTCACAGGTGTAAAAAAAGGCCACCATTTTTGAAGGGGGGGGGGGGGGGGGTATCGAGGGCCCAACAAGGGGCCCACCAAAAGTCATCCCTCTGTCGAGGGTTTTTTTATTCCGGGCAGCCGCTACGCAAGCAACCGACATGCGGGGGGCCTTTTGTGCCAAGGAATGCGAGGGATTTCCCCTGCCCCCCATTTTTTCCACAGCATACTGCCACGGTGAAATCGGGTCCTCTGTCTCCTCCTCCCCCCTCCTCTACCAGATGCTCCGCTCCTCCACCCCTGTCCCGCTGATTAAAAAAAACCCACCGCCCGGATCCTAAGGGGGTAGCCTCTAGCACTCCAAAACCCGGGTTTCCCCCCCAAGCGGGGAATCTAAGTCCCCCCCCTTCTTTTTCACCGGGGGCCCCTGATGGGGGAGGACTTGGAGCAGGCCGAAAAACCAGGTCGCGGCCCTTTTTTTCCACCCAGCTGTGGTAGAACACCTTTTGGAGGTGTAAAGGGGGGGTGAGAGTCGATGTGAGGAGGCCCACAAGAGCACCGTCAGGCAGGCGGGGTCGGAAACAGGGGTGGCAGCGGGGGAAACAAATCGGGCGGGCAGAGGAATAAACGGTCACAAGCCGGGTTCTTAACGGGAGATCAGAACGTGCAGGTTAAAGCAGGAGAAGGCCCAAACAACCAGGATCAAGCAGGAGAAGACAGTTTTTATCGGGAACAGGCTGGGTCGGCAAAAAGGAAATTCGGAACACGGATCAAACGGAACCCCGGTAACGGGTTAAGCCCAAAAAGGGAAACTTGGGGCTTTTTCCCAAAGAGCGGGGTTTTTTAAATAGGCCGCCCAACCCTGAAAAGGCGCCCCTTTAGCCCCTAGTGCCTGCCCGGCCCCGTCACGGTGCCCGGGCGCCCCTGGGTCCTAGTCCCTTTCCCCTGCCTTTATGTCTTGTCAGGTTTCTACCCCTTGCAAAATTCAAATCGCCCAGGGGCGATCTTCCCTTTCCCCCTGACACCCCCCCTTTTTTCACTCAAAAATTTCCGGGAGCACAAAATGTACGCTCAGCAATGTACGGCCTGGCATCAGCAATGGACCCGAATCCTGCCCCCAGCACGCCTAATACAATTTGCGAAATGACATCTGCAGATGTATGAACCTGCCACGTATTACACATTGCCCCCTGCTTGGAGCATTCACTATGGTACCGGACAGACCATACTGATTTCGCAGGCAGCAGCATGAGTAGCTAACAGGAGCCCAATGACGTCGTTCACTGCCTGGCATAGTACTAATCCGAAGCACTAATCTGCGTTGCACCCTATTCAAAGGGCCAGACCCACCAGCTGGTGTCACGAAACTAAGCTGCACTGCAAGGGCTGCGGATCGATGACAAACATATGGGTGTTCACCGGTCAGCCGCATAGTATCATCAGGACCTGGCCACATCATGAAGGCTGATGGCCATGCAATTACGGGCGATCGCTCAGTAAAAAGGACCCAATCGGGGTCACAACCCTTGTACTCAGGGTGGATACCCACACGTGGGTGAAAGTCTAAATGTAACATGGCGCATGGTGCGATGAACACTCACGTTCTGCCGATGACAGACCCATGGAGGAAGTGCTTTGCGATCCTAGCACACATGAAGCTGGAAATGGCCCATGCCAATGACCCGTGCAGCACACATGTGCCCGATATCTGGCCAGCACGACTATGACATTTTATGGAAAACCCACCAGCATGTAGAAACCTGAAATGGCACTTGCTAGATTGGCAGAACAGCAGCAATGAGCCGTAACAGGGAGCCCATGGGGTGGGGGGGACACAACCTTTACGCCTGCAAGCAGGCAGGGAGCAGGTACAGGGCGCCATGTTCAGATTACCCGGTTGTCGTTTACCACACATGAGGTCGATAATCTGCCAGCACCCTATACAAAATGGTAGGACCCAGCCATCATGTGAGAGTTCTCTGAAGGTGCACATGGCAATGTGGCGAGAGGAGACAGGTCAGCAATGTTGATGGGACTAAAACCCATAGCCTGGACCTGGCAGCAGCATGAATGAGGCGGTACAGGGGCCCATGGCAGATTAGGGGCCTGGCAGCAGCAATGGAGAGGCCGTAAACTACTGCCAGCACCTATGACAAAAAAATGAACACACCAGCAGTGTGTGAGGAGACCTGAAAGTGGCACATGGCAGAGTGTGGCGATGGAGACAGCAAGCAATGGGAGGCCGTAGTACAGTGACCCATGAGACACTCTGGACCTCTGGCAGCAGCATGAGGAGGCGGGGCGGTACAGGGGCCCATGGCAGATTAGGGGCCTGGCAGCAGCATGGGAGGCCCGTAATCTGCCAGCACCTATGACAAAAAATGGAACACACCAGCAGTGTGAGGAGACCTGAAAGTGGCACATGTTTGGGGCATGATTCTTGGCGGATTTAGTCAGTTGTGTCAGGAACTGGTGGTTTGAAATCCAGACTAATCCACGCCTGATTCATTTTCAACATATCGTGAGTCTCTCCACACTTTGGGTGGACAGTCGTGTCCTCCGCGGAGTTACAATACCTCCTGCCGCACTAAACACGCGCTCCGATGCCACGCTACTGGCCGGGCATGACAGCCTTTCAAGGGCAAATTCAGCTAGTTGGGGCCAAAGGTCAAGTTTCGTTGCCCAGTAGTCAAGGGGATTGTCTACCTCGGTTGCAGGGTGCTGTCCAAGTAGGCCCAAGCCTGTTGTTTGAGGTCCTGCTCCAGGTCCACCTGATGCTGCTGCTGCTGACTGCTGCGGCTGGTTAGTAGTTTTCCTCACTGCGCTGGTGAAGAAAGCTACTCATCATCGACTGCAGACTGAGGCAGCCGCTGCTGGTGGAGCTGCCACTGCTCCGTACCACCCCACCCTCCTTTGCTGCCATGGCAGCGGAACGCGAGCGCAACAGGGCCCACAGTGTCTGAGGACTGGACGTTGGCGCACAAAGGGCTGAGACCAACTGGACTACATAGGTGGTTTTTATAGTACGTTATTTTGGCCTCCCTCTCAGCAGGTGTGAAAAAGGCCACCATTTTTTTGAACGGTAGCGAGGGGTCCAACAAGGTGGACAGCCAAAAAGTCATCCCTCTCTGTCTGATGGTTATTATTCGGCTGTCGCTACGCAAGCAACCGCCCCGAGCATGCTTATGGGCCACTCATTGTGCCAAGGAATGCGAGGGACTCCCTGCCTCCATCTCCACAGCATACTGCCAACGGTGCATCTGGGTCCTCTGTCTCCTCCTCCTACCTTCCTCCTCTACCAGATTGCTCCTGCCCTCCACTCCTGTCCGCTGAGTGGAAAAACCACCTGTCAGGGATCCCTACAGCGGTAGCCTCTATGCACTCCACAGACCGGATTCCCCCAAGGCGCGGAATCTATTAGTCCCTACCTGCTTGTTCACAACAGGGCCCCTGATTGGTGGGGATGGACTTGGAGCAGGCCGAGACCAGGTCGCGGCCCTTGAGTTCACCCAGCTGTGGTAGAAGCACCGTTGGAGGTGTATAGCAGGTGAGAGTCTGATGTGAGGAGGTCACAAGAGCAGCGTCAGGCAGGCTGGGTCGGTAACAGTGGTGGCAGCGTGGTACAAAGTCAGCAGGCAGAGGAATAAACTGGTCACAAACCGGGTTCGTTAACAGGAGATCAGAACGTGCAGGGTTAAGCAGGAGAATGGTCAGACAAGCCAGGGATCAGAGCAGGAGAAGACAGCAGTATCAGGAACAGGCTGGGTCGGCAACAAGGTATTCAGGAACACTGGATCAAACAGGAACACAGGTAACAGGTAAGACCATACGGCACTTGAGCATTGCAAGAGCTGGGTTTAAATAGGCCGCCCAAACTCCTGACAGGCGCTCCTGGGTCCTAGTGCCTGCCCGGCGCCGTCATCGGTGACAGGCGCGCCTGGGTCCTAGTGCCTGCCTGCCTGTATGTCTTGTCAGGATTCTACGCATGTGCAGATTCGATCGCCGAGGCGATCTTCCCATTCCCTGACATTGCCCCCCCCTTACGGGCAGCCTCCGGATGCCCACCCGATTCCTCCTTTGTGGCTGGCTATGACGGAATTCTCGTACTAATCTGGGGGCATGGACATTCTGGGCTGGTTCCCACGAATTCTCCTCCGGCCCAAAGCCTTTCCACTTGATCAGGTATTGTACCTGACCACCCCCCTCTTCCTACAATCTAAAATTGCCTCCACCTCGAATTCCTCCTCCCCGTTGATATCTATAGCTTCTGGAGGTCTAGACCTGCGGTCTAAAAAGGGGTCTGGAACTGCAGGTTTTAATAATGATACGTGGAAGACTGGATGTATTTTGAGGGACTCGGGGAGAGTCAGTTTAAATGCCACTTCATTAACCTTGCGTTCTACTGGGAAAGGTCCCACAAATTTGGGTGCCAATTTTCTGGATGGGCATGTCAGTTTTAGGTTGGCTGTTGACAACCAAACCCGATCCCCAGGGTGTATGACCAATTCTCCCTTCCTCCTCCTGTCACAAAACCTCTTACTGTCTTCTTGGGCCTTAGCCATTGTTTCCTGTAATACCTTGTTATTGGTAGTAAAGAACTCTAAGGTGTCCTGGGCTGCCGGGACTGAGTTCTCAGGAACCAGGTCTGGCAGGAAGGTAGGATGGAACCCATAATTGGCAAAGAATGGGGATTGGTTGGTGGCGGAATGATTCACATTATTATATGCAAATTCTGCCATTGGTAGAAGTGTCAGCCAGTCATTCTGCAGGAATGATGTGTAGCATCTCAGATATTGCTTGAGAGTCTGATTGGTTCGTTCTGTCTGCCCGTTTGTCTGGGGGTGATATGCTGACGAAAAAGATAACTTAATCTCCAGCCCCTCACATAGCGCTTTCCAGAATTTGGACGTAAATTGCACCCCCCGGTCTGAGACAATCTCTCTTGGCACTCCGTGAAGCCTCACAATCTCTCTAATGAACACTTGGGCTGTTTCGGAGGCAGATGGTGTCTTGGCTAGTGGAAGGAAATGGGCCATTTTAGAAAGGCGATCCACTACCACAAAGATCACGGTGTGATCTTGCGAGGGTGGCAATTCTACAATAAAATCTAAGGAGATCATACTCCAGGGACGGTCAGGTATTGGTAAAGGTCTCAATAGGCCCCAGGCCTTGTCTCTGGTAGGTTTATTCTGGTTGCAGATGGGGCAAGATCTCACGTACGCTTCACAATCCTTGGCCATGTTTGGCCACCAAAATGTGCGTCGTGCCAGATCTATAGTCTTATGTATCCCAAAGTGCCCCGCTAGGGGATGGTCATGGCAGTAACCTAACACCAGGGACTGGACCTCCTTGGGTACCATGATTTGTTCCCCTTCCAGAAGAGTCCCTCCTTATTCAGTAGGGAGACTCCAGGCAGGTCAGAGACCCGGGTGGAAGCAGCCTGCAATTTAGACAACAGCTCAGATTGAAGCAGTAGGAAGCTACCTGCTGGCAGGATGGTGTCTGGCTGGGGGTTCTCTCCAGGGTCCTCAAACATCCGGGAAAGAGCATCTGGCTTAGTGTTTTTTGACCCAGGACGATACGTTATGTGGAGGTTAAACCTTGCAAAAAACAATGCCCATCTGGCCTGGCGTGGACGGAGGTGTTTAGCGGTTTTCAAGTACTCGAGGTTTTTGTGGTCGGTATAGACCAGAATGGGATGTGGGGCCCCCTCTAGCAGATATCGCCATTCCTCCAGAGCGGTCTTAATGGCCAAAAATTCCCGATCCCCAATATCATAATTCCTTTCCGAAGGGGAGAGCTTCCTAGAAAAGAAAGCCACTGGGTGCATCAGCTCCTTGGCCCCTACCCTCTGTGATAACACTGCTCCTACAGCCACTTCCGATGCATCTACCTCTAGTATGTAGGGCAATGATGCATCAGGATGGTTCAGAATGGGAGCCGTTGTGAATAGCTTTTTCAATGCCTCAAAAGCTGCCTGTGCTGCTGGGGTCCATTGGAAACGTACTCCCACTTTGGTGAGCTGAGTAATGGGTGCTACCAGGCCTGAAAAGTTCTTTATAAATTTTCTATAAAAATTGGCAAACCCAATAAACCTCTGGACGCCCTTCTTATCCGTGGGGGCAGGCCATTCCAGGATGGCCGAGATCTTTTGAGGGTCCATAGCGATCCCCGTGGTGGAGATAATTAGACCAAGAAATGAGATGCTTTTCTGTTCAAAACAGCATTTCTCAGCTTTAGCGTAGAGTCCATGCTGACGGAGACGTTCTAGCACACTCCTAACATGTCCCCGATGTGCTTCCAAAGACGAGGAGAATATCAAGATATCGTCCAAGTAGACGATTACAAAAATGTCAAGGAAGTCCCTGAAAATGTCGTTGACAAAGTGCTGGAAGGTGGCTGGTGCATTACATAACCCGAAAGGCATGACTAGACACTCAAAATGCCCGAACCGAGTGCGAAACGCCGTTTTCCACTCATCCCCCTCACGTATCCTTACCAAGTTATAGGCACCCCTGAGATCCAGTTTAGAAAAAATGGATGCTGATTTTAACCTCTGAAACAACTCTGGAACCAAAGGAAGGGGGTAGCGGTTTTTGACCGTAATCTTGTTGAGGTCCCTGTAGTCAACACAAGGTCTCAGGGATCCGTCCTTTTTCTTGACAAAGAAAATCCCTGCCCCGGCCGGTGATGTGGAAGGGTGGATAAATCCCTTACGGAGGCTCTCATCAATGTATTCTTTTAGTGCCCCTAGTTCTCGCTCAGATAGTGGAAAAATGCGGCCAAAAGGGATTTCTGAACCTGGGAGCAGATCAATGGGGCAATCATATGCTCGATGTGGGGGAAGAACTTCTGCCCCCCGTGGACTAAATACATCTAAGAATTGGTGGTAGGCCGCAGGCACAATTTGGGCTAACTCGGATTCAGGGCTTACAGCCAGTAGGGCCTGTGTATTTAATGATAACTTAGATAAACAATGTTCCTGACAGTATTGTGAGGGAAACTGGACTGACCCGGTCTTCCAGTCAATCTGGGGGTCGTGAGCTCGTAGCCAGGGGAGCCCCAGAATAACTGGAAATAGGGGGGACGCGATGGCGTCCAAACGGAGGAACTCCTGGTGATGTCCCGCCACTGTGGTGTGTATGGGAGGAGTCTCCCGATCTACCGTCCCCGATTTTATTTGAGACCCATCTGCCAAGAAAATATTCAACCCATGTTCTTTGGTGAGTAACGGTATCTGATGCTGGGTAGCAAAAACTGAGATCAACAAAGCAGCTACATGCCCCGGAGTCAATAATAGCCGTCACCTGTATGCTTCCTCCTGGGAGCTGAAAAGACACAGGTACAGCCAAGTGAGTGGGGTTGCCTGTGCACACAGTAGATATATTAGAGAAAATAGAGGACTTACAGTATTTCTCTGGACAGGAGCGCACCATATGACCCGCTGCACCGCAGTACAGACACAGGTTGTTTGCCCGACGCCTCTGTCGTTCCTCAGTAGAAAGGGAAGGCCGCATCAAGCCGAGTTGCATAGGTTCGGCTCCCTCTGACGGCTCTGGGCCCCGATTGCCGACACTGACCCTTGGCATGACTGGTACTCTTGGCAGCATCCATGAGGTTCTTTGCCCCTGGCTGGACCTCTCCTGTCTCCTTTCCCGCAGTCTGCGATCGATTTGGATCGCACGATCTATTAGACCTTCCAAGGAGTCTGGAACCCCTATTCTTGCCAACGTCCTTCAGTGGTTCCGACAGTCCCAACCGGAACTGGTGGCGCAAGGCTGCGTCGTTCCATTGTGTATCTCCACTCCAGCGCCTAAACTCCGCAGCATAATCCTCTGCAGCCCGGCGTCCCTGTTGTAGAGAATAGAGGGCTGCCTCAGCCGAGGCAGCTCGATGCGGGTCATCGTACAGCTGTGCCATTGCCTTAAAGAAGGTGGCCACAGTGTTCAAATGTGGGTGGTGGGCCTCCATCAGGCGATGGGCCCATCCCTGAGGTTCACACCCTGCAACAGGGATATAACAAATCCCACCTTCACCGATTCTGAAGAGAAGGTCCGGGGTTGCAGGTCAAAGTATAGCTGGCAGGAGTTTTGGAAGGCCCTGAACTTCCCTCGATCCCCACTGAACCGCTCAGGGATCGGTACTCTTGGTTTTGGCGGAGGAATTGTAAATGCTGCTCCAGTGGAAGGCCCTGCTGAACCCATGGCGGGAGGTGTTCCCACTGAGCCCAATGTTGTGGGTGTTGGTGCGGCCAGGCTCTGAACCGGTCCCTCCAGGTGCTTGTATCCCTCTTCCAGGGTCTTCACCGCTCGTGTGAGTGCTGCCAGATGTTGGCACATCTCTTCCCAGGGTGAAGGTCCTCCTCCAGACTCTGTCATGGCCGTATGGTTCTGTCAGGGATCCTACAGCGGTAGCCTCTAGCACTCCACAGACCGGATTCCCCCAAGGCGCGGAATCTAAGTCCCTACCTGCTTGTTCACCAGGGCCCCTGATGGTGGGGATGGACTTGGAGCAGGCCGAGACCAGGTCGCGGCCCTTGAGTTCACCCAGCTGTGGTAGAAGCACCGTTGGAGGTGTATAGCGGGTGAGAGTCTGATGTGAGGAGGTCACAAGAGCAGCGTCAGGCAGGCTGGGTCGGTAACAGTGGTGGCAGCGTGGTACAAAGTCAGCAGGCAGAGGAATAAACTGGTCACAAGCCGGGTTCGTTAACAGGAGATCAGAACGTGCAGGGTTAAGCAGGAGAATGGTCAGACAAGCCAGGGATCAGAGCAGGAGAAGACAGCAGTATCAGGAACAGGCTGGGTCGGCAACAAGGTATTCAGGAACACTGGATCAAACAGGAACACAGGTAACAGGTAAGACCAATACGGCACTTGAGCATTGCAAGAGCTGGGTTTAAATAGGCCGCCCAACTCCTGACAGGCGCTCCTGGGTCCTAGTGCCTGCCCGGCGCCGTCATCGGTGACAGGCGCGCCTGGGTCCTAGTGCCTGCCTGCCTGTATGTCTTGTCAGGATTCTACGCATGTGCAGATTCGATCGCCGAGGCGATCTTCCCATTCCCTGACACCACCCATTTCACTCAATAATTCCTGAGCACAAATGTCCTCCTCTACCTCCTCCTCTTCTTCCTGTCCTGCCCCCACAGGGGTCATGTGGCGTTGAGATCTGTGCGCCACGTCTACCGCCCCCTGACCAGCCATTGTTAACAGCATTTGTTCCAGGACGTGCAACAGAGGAATGACGTCGTTCATCCCATAGTCCTGCCGACTCACGAATAGCGTGGCCTCCTCAAAGGGCCTGAGCAAGCGGCAGGTGTCACGCATGAGCTGCCAATGGCTGACATCGAAGTTACACAGGGGAGTACCTTTATCCGCTTGTAACATCAGGAAATCGGTGATGGCCTTTCGCTGTTCGTAAAGGCGGTCTACCATGTGTAGGGTTGAATTCCACCTTGTTGCAACGTCGCAGATCAGGCGATGCTGTGGAATTCCGTTCTGCCGCTGCAGCTCAAGGAGGGTGTGCTTTGCGGTGTAGGAATGGCTGAAATGCATGCAAAGTTTACGTGACATTTTAAGGATGTCTTGCAGTGGGATGGTGGATTTTAGGAACCGCTTGACAACCAGATTGAACACGTGAGCCATGCATGGCGCATGGCACAACCTTCCTTGACGCAGAGCAGACACCCATGTTCTTTCCGTTGTCGGTCAACATGGTTCCGATTTTCAGTTTGCGCGGAGACAGCCATCTGTCGATTTCTCTGTTCATTACACTGAGAAGTTCCTCCCCTGTGTGACTACGTTCGCCTGGACCTGGCAGCAGCATGAGGAGGCGGTACAGGGGCCCATGGCAGATTAGGGGCCTGGCAGCAGCTATGGGAGGCCCGTAATCTGCCAGCACCCTATGTCAAAAAATTTGAACACACCAGCAGTGTGTGAGGAGACCTGAAAGTGGCACATGGCAGAGTGTGGCGATGGAGACAGCAGCAATGGGAGGCCGTACAGGGACCCATGAGACACTCTGGACCTGGCAGCAGCATGAGGAGGCGGTACAGGGGCCCATGGCAGATTAGGGGCCTGGCAGCAGCTATGGGAGGCCCGTAATATGCCAGCACCCTATGACAAAAAATGGAACACACCAGCAGTGTGTGAGGAGACCTGAAAGTGGCACATGGCAGAGTGTGGCGATGGAGACAACCCACCGACTGTTTTGTTCGCTGCCAAGCTGCCACCCTCTTCTCCTGATGATGCGGAAGCAATAGCCTGATGACGACGAGGCTGCCAAGTGCGATCAGCCTCATCATCATCAATTAGGGTCTCCGCCTCACTACTAGCCCCCTCGGCTGCGTGTGGGTCAGGAGACAGACCTGTCTCTAGACCGGCTACCGAGCCACTCTCCTCGCCACTACTTCTTCGCCTGGCTGCTGAAGAGGCGGATGTCTCCCCCCGTTCCTGACCGCCCTCTGTTAGCTCTTCCTCACTGTACTGGATGACACCGGGAGCACTGGCCTCTGGCTGCGAATAGTGCTGCCTCGACCCTTTCCTCTGCTGCCACGTCTGCTCGCTCCTAAAACATTGCCTCCTCTGCCACTCCTCTGCATGTTGTCTGACATACTCTTTAATTAAACGATTCTGTGTCCCTGAGTAACAATTCTGTGTCTGTCCCTGAGTAACAATTCTGTGGCCCTAAGTAACAGTTCTGTGGCCCTCAGTAACAATTCTGTGTCCCTCAGTAACAATTCTGTGTCCCTCAGTAACAATTCTGTGTCCCTCAGTAACAATTCTGTGTCTGTCCCTAAGTAACATTTCTGTGGCCCTGAGTAACAATTCTGTGTCTGTCCCTGAGTAACAATTCTGTGTCTGTCCCTGAGTAACAATTCTGTGTCCCTAAGTAACGTTTCTGTGGCCCTAAGTAACGTTTCTGTGGCCCTAAATATAGGTTCTGTGGCCCTCAGTAACAATTCTGTGTCTGTCCCTAAGTAACAATTCTGTGGCCCTAAGTAAAGTTTCTGTGGCCCTAAGTAACGTTTCTGTGTCCCTAAGTAACGATTCTGTGGCCCTAAGTAACGTTTCTGTAGCCCTAAGTAACGTTTCTGTGGCCCTAAGTAACGGTTCTGTGGCCCTCAGTAACAATTCTGTGTCCCTCAATAACAATTCTGTGTCTGTCCCTAAGTAACAATTCTGTGGCCCTAAGTAACGATTCTGTGGCCCTAAGTAACGATTCTGTGGCCCTAAGTAACGTTTCTGTGGCCCTAAGTAACGTTTCTGTGGCCCTAAGTAACGTTTCTGTGGCCCTCAGTAACAAATCTGTGTCCCTCAGTAACAATTCTGTGTCTGTCCCTAAGTAACAATTCTGTGGCCCTAAGTAACGTTTCTGTGGCCCTAAGTAACGGTTCTGTGGCCCTCAGTAACAATTCTGTGTCCCTCAATTAACAATTCTGTGTCTGTCCCTAAGTAACAATTCTGTGGCCCTAAGTAACGTTTCTGTGGCCCTAAGTAACGATTCTGTGGCCCTAAGTAACGATTCTGTGGCCCTAAGTAACGTTTCTGTGGCCCTAAGTAACGTTTCAGTGGCCCTCAGTAACAAATCTGTGTCCCTCAGTAACAATTCTGTGTCCCTCAGTAACAATTCTGTGTCTGTCCCTAAGTAACAATTCTGTGTCTGTCCCTAAGTAACGTTACTGTGGCCCTAAGTAACGTTTCTGTGGCCCTAAGTAACGTTTCTGTGGCCCTCAGTAACAAATCTGTGTCCCTCAGTAACAATTCTGTGTCTGTCCCTAAGTAACAATTCAATTCGTTTCTGTGGCCCTAAGTAACGTTTCTGTGGCCCTCAGTAACAAATCTGTGTCCCTCAGTAACAATTCTGTGTCTGTCCCTAAGTAACAATTCTGTGGCCCTAAGTAACGTTTCTGTGGCCCTCAGTAACAAATCTGTGTCCCTCAGTAACAATTCTGTGTCCCTCAGTAACAATTCTGTGTCTGTCCCTAAGTAACAATTCTGTGTCTGTCCCTAAGTAACGTTTCTGTGGCCCTAAGTAACGTTTCTGTGGCCCTAAGTAACGATTCTGTGGCCCTAAGTAACGTTTCTGTGGCCCTAAGTAACGTTTCTGTGGCCCTCAGTAACAAATCTGTGTCCCTCAGTAACAAATCTGTGTCTGTCCCTAAGTAACAATTCTGTGGCCCTAAGTAACGTTTCTGTGGCCCTAAGTAACGGTTCTGTAACGTTTCTGTGGCCCTAAGTAACGTTTCTGTGGCCCTAAGTAACGTTTCTGTGGCCCTAAGTAACGATTCTGTGGCCCTCAGTAACAAATCTGTGTCCCTCAGTAACAGTTCTGTGTCTGTCCCTAAGTAACAATTCTGTGGCCCTAAGTAACGATTCTGTGGCCCTCAGTAACAAATCTGTGTCCCTCAGTAACAATTCTGTGTCTGTCCCTAAGTAACAATTCTGTGGCCCTAAGTAACGTTTTCTGTGGCCCTAAGTAACGATTCTGTGGCCCTAAGTAACGATTCTGTGGCCCTAAGTAACGATTCTGTGGCCCTAAGTAACGATTCTGTGGCCCTCAGTAAACAATTCTGTATCCCTCAGTAACAATTCTGTCTGTCCCTGAGTAACAATTCTGTGTCCCTAAGTAACGTTTCTGTGGCCCTAAGTAACGTTTCTGTGGCCCTAACTAACGTTTCTGTGGCCCTAAGTAACGTTTCTGTGGCCCTAAGTAACGTTTCTGTGGCCCTAAGTAACGATTCTGTGGCCCTAACTAACGTTTCTGTGTCCCTAAGTAACGTTTCTCTGTCCCTAACTCTCTCCCTGAATACAGCCAGGTCTGCCTCTGTTGAATGACTGGAGGCAAATGGAGAATTCTAAAATGGCCGCCATTTATAGCTCGACCATTACACTGTGCTGGCTGGCTGGCTGCTGATTGGCTAATGCGATCACATGTCATGAATGAATGCATTATGGGTCAGCGCGCCTTGTCTGCGCGCCTTCCCAGACATCCCCGCTCCGTCGCCGCACATGTCGCCGCCATTTTAGGAAAAATTTCGATTCGCGCATCCGAAGTCTGCTTATTTTTGGATTCAACGCGAATCGAAATTTTCCTAATATTCAAAACGAATTCCACTTCGCCTAGTTCGATTCGCTCATCTCTAATAGTAACCATGCATCACACCACCACACAGCACACACAAGCAGGTACATGTTATAAAGAGCACAAGGCATATTCACTGCTGTGAATGGGCCCTAACACTTTTTAAAGGCTATGTTCACCTTTCTGACAAAAGTAATAAATGCACATTTTTTGCAGGTAAAGAAATATGCATTTATTATATTTGTCTGCAGAAGCCTGTACAGCATTGCACCAGCGGTCATTAGATTGCTGATGCCATGCAGGGCTTGCCGTACGGGATGTATGAGCAAGCAGATATACTGACAGCTTCAATGAACTACCCCGGTGCTCAACAGCATGGTGGTAGTTCACTGAAAACTACAAGCCGACAGCCGCTAAGGATGCCAGGACTTGTAGGTACTCATTCACAGAACTCTGTGGATGAGTGACATGGCCGTGTGGGCGAAATGTAGCACACAGACTGGATTGATCTGGCAATTTTGATCCCAGGTTCTGATCCCTTTATGGAGCAAGCAGCCAGGCACAGGCTATTTTCAGCCAGGTGCATGAAGTCTCACTCCTCAGTAACCAGGCAGATAGTGTCTTTTGTGTTGTTTTATTTATGTTGTTGAACTGGGATAGGGGTTGAACTAAATAGACACTATCATTAAGTCAAGTCACACTGCCTTCCCTGTACAAAAAGATAGCAGGCAGCTTTTAGCACAGGGGACTCCTCTAAGACACAACCCTGGTAGTAGGTCTGGAACGATCCCTCTAGTAAGAAAGGGGTATAGGCAACAGTCTTGATCCTGAGAATTGTCTAAGGTCTACTCACTGTGATCCAGACAACCTGAAGGCCTCCTCTCAGCTTCAGTTTGAATCTGGCTTGAAGTTTCCCAAGAAGATCCCCTCTGGGTGTTGCCTTGGGTGTTCCTGCGACTTTGGAAGTGATCCTATGGCTCTTTGGTGAGCAAGAATCATCCAGGACGTCTTAAAATGACCCTGCATTCACTATATCTGGTCTCCCACAGTACACAGAACATGGAAATGCAATTATTTTAGTAAATATAAACTGCTAAATACCTTTTCTCATCAGTAGTTAGAGCAGTCCTGTGTTTAGCAGAGCACTGGTTAAAGCTTGTAGGAGGAGTTTTCATTTTGTTCTAGGAGGATGCAGAACCCCTGACCCTCTGTCTGGACAGTGCTGATTGGCCCTGTGCTGATCACATGCTATTTTCCAAGAAAAAAACCTCTCTAGCAATACACACCAAACTGAGCATGTGCAGAGTGTCTCCACACCATATATCTTATCAGGAGATAAGAGGGGGACACTGGAAGAAGGGGAGGATCAGAGAAGTGAGGATCAAAAACAGACTTTGTACACAATGCAGAGGATTAACCCCTTAGGTTCCACAGTGAGTATAACAAGCATGCTTTACTGCATAGTAACACTTTAAAGTCTCACTTAAGCCTTGAAAGGTTTAACAGACTTCCAAGCTGGATCAGTCACCTGCCGTCGAAGGACACTTCTACTTTCTGCTCTAACCCTTCTATGGCCCCCTGCTGGCCATTTCCTTCCCAAGCAGGGATTGGATGAGACTGTACCCAGGGCAAGCCCAGTCTCTGCCCTCTCCTGCTCACTATGTTTCCAGAAGGCTCTGGCCAGGGGGAAAGCGGCCAACGTGCGGTTGCAGAAATCAGAGTAGGCAACACACAATTATGTCTCGGCTTCTAATGGCAGAGCCAAGTAACTAGCTTTGCTTCACTTCTACTTAAACTAGGAGGGCGCTACACTAGTGTAAAATGTGCATTGTGCTGCAGGAAAACACAGATGCTGACAACCCCGAAAACAATAGGCAACTTTTTAAAAATGAATCTTTCTTTAGATTTAGAGCACATCAAATTAGGTCTGTTAAACATGAGTATCCCTGGTGATCAATCCCATACCTGCAGGTTATATCCGTTATGATCTATGGTGGCTTTTTACCTTGGCTTTCTTGTAACATTTGGCGGCGTTAAGCTCTCCGGTGGAGTGAACTTGTTTTTCTTGTACATGTCGCCATCGCACAATACTTCACAACAAGAGACATGAGTCGGGGATAATTAAGCCATTTCAGTTGCTCACCAGGTGAAACCCTTTCAAGCAGTTTTGTAAGATCTCTTGTGTGATCTTTGGATTGTGGAACATAAAGCACTGATATTCTCCAGAGTGTCACTTTTCTCAGGTAAAGCAGGAGTGACAGGCAATACAGAGGGACGAGTGACAAGAAGGGACAAGTGAAAATGAAATGGTTTGCACGGTAGCTCATTATTGTACAGTGTGTGTCTTGTAGGTATCTCTAGGGTCTCTTACTGATTTGCTTTCAGCTGCTTATTAAATGAGATCTGTGGAGCGGGACGCTCTGTGCAGTGTCCTCAAAGGCCTCTTTGTGGTTCAGTCTTCCAGCTTTATTTTATTATTCGAGAAAGAATTGTTACCTCTGTGTTTGAAGAAATATAGGTCCACATTTTTTCCTGAAAAACAGCAACTTATACAAGTAGTGTGTGAAATAGAACAATCTCCTGTTATAAATAGTACTAGATTACTGTATAATCTACTACTTGAGTACAAAACACAATTTTGTTTGTTTTTTCTCTATATTTTCACCTGGCGATCCAGCTAGTAAGTCTGTTTTTTTTTTTCAACTTCCTTTAACAGACTAAAAATCCAGCAAAAATGGCAGTTAGTGGATTGAGAAAAACCATTTATCACTGACCTGGGTGCTTACAATTGTCATCTATTGTTTATTTATGTAAAACCTTCACTTTCCACTCCCCAGAATGATAATGCTGCTGTCCAAAGGTATTGCTATTGCTCCTCCATCCCTAACGGAGATGCCTTAAGACAAAAAATGTATTACTGGTTGGATCACTTAGTGAATATAATGGTGAAAAAGCCCTAAAAAAGATAACCAATGCTGCAACCACATTGAAGGTTTGGCTGCAATATTTTACATTTGCAGCCACCCTGCCTTAAGCGGGAGTGTCTAAATTTAGTTCTGCATGCCTGTAGTCAGCCAATGCTAATTTGTAGTCTGTGGTTTGCTCAGCTTCCCCTGGCTGTCAGTTATCCATTTTGTTAGTAGGTGGCACTGTCTCCTCTGGCATTAGTGAGAGATCTTACAGTAGGTAGGAGTTATGAATATTCATATATTTTCCCAGACCACCACTAGGAGTTTCTTGTGCCAGTGGTGCATTATGGGAAAGGATATAAATATTCAAGGCTGGCTGATGCAAGCTCTCTTCCTACTGGCTGTGGCCAGGAGAAGGTATCTTTGATGGAGCTCCTGATTTAGGCCTACCTAGCCTGAAAGGGGCACTGGGAAGCAGTGGCGCCTGAAGCTGAGGTCTGGTGCTGCTGATCTTCACTGGATTGTAATCCGTGTACTGGGGTGGGCTCCCCAGGATACAGTGAAGTCACGAACAAGGAAAGCAATCCCAACACCAGATTTTGCCACAACAGAATCTTACTTAGATGTGGCAAATAAACACAACCACAAATGCTGGAAACATACAATAAATTTATATACACCCAGCCCAAAGGCTGAGACCCTTGTGCTGCACAGCATGGCGCCTTCTGATGGATGAAGGTAGAAAATGAAGTAATTTACCTACTGGCGGGCACAACTAAGCTGCCACACCTTACCTGTTATTACCCTAAAAGAGCAGGAATCAGTGTATGGGTGTATGGTATGGGCTAGCCTGCGGTGCAGCACAACAGCTTACAATCTTACACAAATCTACAGTATTCCCCCTCCCATAACTGGTCCTGTAGCACATGCCTGAGTATTCCTTCTGAGCAAAAGACCGGCTTGAGTTTGTAGGATTTTATCAGCTCTCCAATGTGAAATGTCACTTTAAGTTGTGGAGTCCTTCCAATAATCAGTAACAACACTTGTGGCCTGACACAGAGACCCTAACTAACTAACTATAGACCTGGACTCACTCTCAAGGCACCAACACTGAAATTATGTGCGTGCACGATCTTACAGACCCAGGTCTGCTTTGCATCTGCTGGTGACTCTGAACAGAACAAATGTCTCTCCAACAAGCATGTGGTCTTGCCGTATATGTTGCTTAGTTCCGCTGCTCTCATCAGCCTTCCTGGCAGTAATCTCATCAGCTTCCTGGCAGCAATCTCATCAGCATTCCTGGCAGCAATCTCTGGTTACTGAGGGGTGCTCTCACACCTGGATGTCATCAGATTCTCAGCTCACACGGCCCCCCTCATTCACCATTCTGCAGAACATGGATGCTCTCTCTCCTCTGTGTGAAAACTCCACCTCTTCATGAATATCGAAATCTCTATGCAGTCTGAGGCTGTGTTAGAAAAACAGTGACATCTTGTGGCTAAACTGCAGAATGTCAGTCAAAACATTTAATTTACTCCACACAAGCAGTATTCAAACAATGAGAGCTGTTTCCCCATCTCACAAGATGCAGCATAGAGTCCCATGAAGGCTGGTTGACTCTCCTGCTGAAGATGGAAGCTACTGTTGGTGCTGATTGCTAGTGAATCTTAAAACAGAAATGTTAGTCCCGACTTAAAGGCTCTTTTCCCCTTGATGTGATCAAGAAGCAATAGGGCCTGAAGTTGAGGCCTGGTGCTGCTTATCTTCACTGGATGAAGCATAGAGTTCCATGAAGGCTGGTTGACTTTCCTGCTGAAGATGGAAGCTACTGTTTGGTGCTGATTGCCAGAGAATCTTACCACCAAAACGTCAGTCCTGACATAAAGGCTCTTTTCCCCGTGATGTGATCAAGAAACAATGGGGCCTGAAGTTGAGGCGTGGTGCTGCTCATCTTCACTGGATGCAGCATAGAGTCCCATGGAGGCTGGTTGACTCTCCTGCTGAAGATGGAAGCTACTGTTTGGTGCTGATTGCTAGAGAATCTTACCACAGAAATGTCAGTCCCAACTTAAAGGCTCTTTTCCCTGTGATGTGATCAATGGAGTACCGGAGTTCTGCTTTAAATCTAAGCGTCTGCAACCCTAACCCTCTCTCCTATGGAATGTGAGTATTAAATTCCTTTTTTGTTTTATCTAAAAGTGACCGGCACCCACCTTTCTACACACCCCATCATTATACATCATCACAGACTTACCCCTGAGGTGAAATGGCAGTCCATCCTGTCTCCAGGGGTAATGCTATACCTCCAGGGGTTGGGGGGGGGGGGGGGGGGTACTACACATTTTCGTATTTGGGTTTAATACTGCTTAAGATAAATATTTAATGATTTCCAGATGTGACCAGCTAACCAGGAAATATAGTGGAGGCAGTTGAATCGTGCCTGTTCTTCCATCTGCCCTCTGATGTATAATACCGCCTTTACACAAACAAATGTTCAGTGTGTAGAACCAAAGCAGCAGAGGTCTTTGAAATAATGGTATAGGGGTTGATTTACTAAAGCTGGAGAGTGCAAAATCTGCTGCAGCTATGCATGGTAGCCAATCAGCTTCTAACTTGTTCATTTAAGCTTTGTCAATAATACCGGAAGCTGATTGGTTTCTATGCAGAGCCTCACCAGATTTTGCACTCTCCAGTTTTAGTAAATCAACCCCATTGCATCTTAAAGTAGTACTAAAAGCAAAATTAAAAATTACATTGGATACAGTCTTTCATTAGCATTACAAAGCATTCCTTTTTCTGAGTCACTCCAGTAACTTAAGATGGCTATACAAGGATTAAAATTTGAACAGTTCAGAAAGGAAGGGCTGAAGTTTGGTCAGTCTGTGGCCAACCCTGCTCAACAGTAGTCAATTGTTCAATCAGTGGCTGCAGCCACTGATCAGAATACTCTAACAGCGGCAGTCCCTCTGTCAGAATACAATGTCCCTGGTGGGGGAATTCCTCCATTCACCTTGCTGACTGAATGAAAAAAAAAACAACCATCTAGGGCAGGGGTCTCCAAACTATGGCCCTCCAGGTGTTGAGGAACTGCAAGTCCCATGAGGCCTTGCAAGACTCTGACAGCCACAGGCAAGACTTGCAGAGGCATGATGGTACTTGTAGTACTTCAACAGCCGGAGGGCCATAGTTTGGAGACCCCTGATAGGGTCAGCTTTAGTTTTTAACCTTTTGATCCTGCTGTTATTTTTCAGTGCCCCAAAACAAACCAAGATGTGTAGCAAAAGTGGCAGTTAGAGCATTGAGACAAACCATTTAATGCAAAACTAAACCTTCTTATCCTTGACAGCCAAGGAAGCTGCCATCTAAGCCTCTCTGTGGTCTAGAGCTGCCATGGTGCTGCACATGTGACACCAGCCATTTAATGACTGGACAATTTGGTTGAGCGCACAAGCAAATGTGACAATT